GGCGGCAGCGCCCGCACGCCGCGATGCCCATGTCGGCACGCCCCATCACGAGGATCGCGCCCGTTTCTTTCCCTTTTTTTCCTCCCTCTGTGCCCGCGCACTCCAAAGTCCAAAGCTGCGGGCGCAGCGCGGCGCGGAGTCCCCGCGACGCGCGACGGTCGCCCTGGCAGGGTCCCAGCGACGCGCGCGAGTCGTCCGCTGCGCGGAGCAAAGAGAGCTAGCTAGCTAGCTGGCTGGCTGATAGCGGGCAAGGTTCTAACCGCTGGGCAGCGAGCGAGGGGCGAGCGAGGCGCAGGGAAGAACGCAGCACGGCGTTCCCGCGACGCGCGCTGGTCGCCCCGGGAAGGTCCCAGCGACGCGCGCGGGTCGTCCGCGGCGCGGGGCCAAACAATTCGTTGGGCAGTCGAGAGAAGGCGCGGCTCGGGGGGCGCGCTCTTCATGTCAGGCCTCGCGGATAAGCTCGGTGAGGCCGAGCTCCCTGGCGACGGCCGTCGCCTCCCTCCTGCGCCGCTTCGTGCGCGCCGCAAACTGCTCCAGCGGTTTCCGCAAGCCCTCCGGCGGCCCTACCAAGAAGAACTCGATGCGCGGCGCCCGCATGAGCAGGAGGTCCTCGTTGCGCGTGGCGCGCGAGAGCACCACATAGAGCTCCAGCACCAGGCGTCGTCCTCTTTCTCGCCGTTCCCGACCTCGTGGCGGCCGCAGTCCTGGGCGACGTCGGCCGAGGGAGCAACGCGCCGGACAACCGACGGCCCATGGCGAGAGTCCACAGGACCGAGAAATGGTCCGGCTGCAGTCCGTTCGCGCCCAGTAGGTTCGGCTGCAGGTGTGCCGAAACGTGTGAGGGGTGTGCCGAAATGTGTGTGGGGGACGTATGCGGGCGGTGTCACTGGGGCCTTCGGTGGAGCTCGTTATGGGGCCACGAACCGTGTGAGGGGTGTGCCGAAATTTGTGTGGGGGACGCATGCGGGCGGTGGCACTGGGGCCTTCGGTGGAGCTCCTTATGGAGCCACGAAACGTGTGAGGGGTGTGCCGAAATAGGTGTGGGGGAAGCATGCGGGCGGTGGCATTGGGGCTTCCGGTGGAACCCCCCATGAGGCCATGAAACGTGTGAGGGGTGTGCCGAATTGTATGTGGGGGACGCATGCGGGCGGTGGCACTGGGGCTTTCCGCGGAACTCCATATGGGGCCACGAACCGTGTGAGGGAGGGGTGTGCCGAACTGTGTGTGGGGGACGCATGCGGGCGGTGTCACTGGGGCCTGCGGTGGAACTCCCTATGGGGCCACGAAATTTGTGAGGGGTGTGCCGAAATGGGTGTGGGGGACGCATGCGGGCGGTGGCACTGGGGCCTTCGGTGGAGTTCCCTGTGGGGCCACGAAACGTTTGAGGGATGTGCCGAAATGGGTGTGGGGGACGCATGCGGGCGGTGGCACTGGGGCCTTCGGTGGAGCTCCCTATGGGTCCATGAAACGTGTGAGGGGTGTGCCGACATGGAGATGATGTTGGTGATGGTGACGGTCGTGATGACGATGGTGATGATGACGCTGATGGTGATGATGATGATGACGATGATGATGATGACGGGAGGAGAGAAGAAGGAGGAGGAGGAGGAGGAGGAGAGGAGGAAAAGAAGAACGCGGGGCGACGTCTCTTCAAAACGACGACCCAACACCACAGGATGGCGGTTGGGAAATGGAAACCGTCACAATGGGAATCTTTTGGAAATTCTACAACGGGGCTTCGATTAGAAATCCTCACAACCGGATTTCTTTGGGAAGCGCCGCAGAGGGATTACATGGGAACACCTTCTTCAACGGGAACCCATTGGAAGACACACCAAAAAGATTCGGTTGAAAAGCCGCGCAAAAGGATTGCATTGGAAAACGCCACAAAGGATTTTTCTCCCACCCACCCGCCACCCACCCAAAACAACAATCAGAAAACATGTGCGACGACGTCATGGGTTTTTTTGGGCAAAACAAAGAAGCCACTGCTCCTTGTGGGGGGGATGGGGATGACGAGGAGTTGTGCGAGGATGAGGAGGAGGAGGAGGAGGAGGAGGAGGAGGAGGAGGAGGAGGAAGAGGAGGAAGGGGAAGAAAAGGACAGAAAAGGAGGAAAAAAGAGGACGAGGAGGAAGAGGAGGAGGAGGCTGAGGAGGAAGAACGATGCGACAACCGTTGGACAACCACACGAAAACACCATCCGAAAGGCGAGGGCTGCCACAATCCCCCGCTCTCGAGGAGGAGGAGGAACACGAGAACGAGGACGAGGACGAGGAGGAAGAGGAGGAGCGGAAGGAGGAGCAGAAAAACGGAGAAAGGGGGAGCAGAAGGAGGAGGAGGAGGAGAAGGAGGAGGAGGAGGAGGAGGGGGAGGAGGAGGAGGAGGAGGAGGAGGAGGAGGAGGAGGAGGAGGAGGAGAAAAAAAAAGAGGAGAACAAGGAGGAGACAAATGATGAGAAAAAGGAGGAGGAGGAGGAGGAGGAGGAGGAGGAGGAGAAGGAGGAGGTGAAGGAGAAACATGCGAAAAAAAGGAGGAGGAGGAGGAGGGGGGGGAGGAGGAGGAGGAGAAAACGGAGGAGGAGAAAAAGGACGAGGAGGAAGAGGAGCAGCAGTATGAGGAGGAGGAGCAGGAGGAGGTGGAGGAGGAGGAAAAGGAGGAGGAGGAGGAAGAGGAGGAGGAGGAGGAGGAAAAGGAGGAAGCCCCTGTGGTTCAGGCGTCTGCCTGAGGAGGGGCCATTCGCTTGCACTTGCGAGCCGCTGTTCTCCCCCCTTGCCCCCCGCGCCGCCATGGTCTCAGCAGCCAGGCTCCATTGGATCATCCAGGAGCTAGCGAATGGCCGCCAAGGTGCTGTCAAACTGTGCAGCCACAGCGACAAGCTGATCATGCAGATCTGCCTGTTCCCCGTCTGGGAGCCGACTATGCGGAGCAGCCTCATGATAAGTTTGCTCCACATGGCGCAGCTGGACATCGACAACGCTAGTATCGTGGACCACGGGCACAAGAACTCCAAAGGCGAGTCCCGCATCCGTCTTGTCGTGAAGCCCCTTCTGGTTTTCTTAAGAGGCTTCTCTGATACGCCGCCGGACATGCGTTCTGCGGTGCAGGAGGGCTCCGAGCGCCAGACGCACGCCGAGTCCATCGGGCCGGTCCTTGCGCACGAGAAGGATGAGTCGTCCAGCGCGCAGCTTCCTGGTGAAGGTGGCGCGACTGGCTCGGGCTCTGCGGCGATGGAGAGCGAAACCTGTGCCAAGGCGGAGACTGATGTTGATGCGGTGAGGCCCCAGCGGCACGGAAAGGCCACTGTTCCTCAGCAGCACGGCGAGAAGCACACGTTCGTCCCAGGCGTGGCCGCGCGCCTTGTTGGCCTCAAGGCTAGGTAACTGCTAAATGGTCGCGAAGGCACCTGAGCTTCTACGACGACGCTGCTGACCGCTGGGCCTTTAAGACTGGTGCGGAGGCCATTCGTGTCAAGGCATCCTGTCTTGAGCCTATCGGCTCCCATGCGAAAAAGTCTCTCGGCATGGCGTTCCAAAAGGCCGCTTTCGAGTGCCAACATGTGGACCCAGTTGCTAACGACCAGGTGTTCCAGACATTGTGCGACCTCGCTGCTCAAGAAGGGCAGCCTGGGGTGGCCGCTGTCTTCCTACCGTTGCTCAGCGACAAGACAGCCTTCGACAAGATGCACTGCCGCACGGCCGCCAGGAGTCCTGAGATCGTCTACCAGCGAGTGGCGCTTAGCTGCATTCTTGGTGCGCCTAGTGCATCCATTCTTGGGCCCCCATGCGCCATTCCTTGCGCCCCACGTCGTCCGTTGGGTTGCGCTTCTCGTCATGGCTGCTGGCGCCCCCATGTACGTTGGGGTTGCGCTTCCCGTCTAAGGCCCTGGTTTCATGTGCTACTCGTTCCTTCGGGCGAGTGCAGTGTTGCCAGGTCTTGCGGGCGAGATTCGGCTGCGTCCCTCGTGCACGTCGCTGCTCTCCTCGCCCCCCGCTATACTTGCCGCCATTCTCACCGCTGCCGTATGCATGCGTGGACACCTCGGACGTTAGTCCTCAGGGCTGCGGGAAGAATAAGAAGGAAGAGGAGGAGGAGGAAGAGGAGGAGGAGGAGGAGGAGGGCGAGGAGGAGGAGGGGGGGGGGGAGGAGGGGGAGGACTGGAGGATGAGGAGGAGGAGGAGGAGGAAGAGGATGTCACGGTCGTTGTCCTCCTGCTCTTCGTCCCAATCCTCCAGGCCAAGCAGGGGGGGATATGGAGGGTGGGGGGGATGCATGTTGTAGGGAGGTGCAGGAGCAAGACAAGGAATGAAGCGTGATGGGCACCGAAAACATGAATCGGGCGTGCTGGGAGAGATATTAAAATATCCAGAACGTCCCGGAACGCTCTTAAAGTTTTTTTCGAACGCTCTGGGAAGGCCGCGGCGCCCGATGCATCTTGTTCAGCCGCCAGATCTCAAAGATCCCCGATTTGTCCTGGTCCGATAAGTAACCTCAGCCAGAGGGATGCCACACTCGAGGATCATGCCAGTCCAGGCCGAGGAAGGAGGAGAGAGAGAGAGAGAGAGAGAGGGGGCAGGGAGTACAAACGAGGAGAGAGGAGGCGTGGCTGAGAGAGGAGGATGGAGGTGGGGGGATGAGGTGGTTGGGGAGGGAGAAGGAGGCCGAGTGGAGGGAGGAGGGAGGAGGATACATGGCGCTCGCATGGATGGACGAAAGGGGATGGGAGGGAGCAGGTGTCGTTCGAGGGAAAACCTCCGATATGGATTTTTTCAATCCGCGGCCCCGGAACTCCCGACCCCTTCCCTGGGGGTGGCTTATCGCCCCCGATCCGCTTTCGATGGTCCGGGGGCCCGCTGAACGGGCCCCCGAGGCCGAGCGCGATGAAAACACGCCAGCTGAAAACATCACATCGTCGGACATTTGGAGACGGGAAAGGAGGGGAGGATCGTCTTCGGCGGCTGGGTGGCTCCCTCCGCCGGGCGGGGGCCGTCCCGGGCGAAGTTGCGGGACTCGGAGCTCGCCGCGGCGGAGGGGCGCGCGGAGGCGCTGGCTTCGGAACTGGCGGCCTCGCGCGCGGGCGGCGGCGGCGGCGGCGAGCGTGCCGGCCAGGGAGACGCCGCCGCAGGAGGAAGAGCTTCTTGGGGGCTCCGCATGAGAAGCCTTCGAGACACACACACCCACCCACACACGCACTCACGCACGCATTCACGCACCCACACCCGCACTCACGCACGCACACACACACGCACGCACGCACGCACGCACGCGCGCACGCGCGCACGCGCGCACGCGCGCACGCGCGCACGCGCGCACGCGCACACAAACACACTCACACACCCACGCACACAAACACACACACACACAAACACACACACACGCACTCACGCACTCATACACGCACATTCACGCACGCACGCACGCATCACGCACGCACGCGCGCACGCGCGCACGCGCGCACGCGCGCGCACACGCACGCACGCACTCACGCACGCACGCACGCACGCACGCACGCACGCACGCACGCGCGCGCGCACGCACGCGCGCACGCGCGCACGCGCGCACGCACTCACGCGCGCACGCACGCGCGCACGCGCGCACGCGCGCACGCACTCACGCGCGCACGCACACGCACTCACGCACGCACGCACGCACATCGGCGTCACCCCAACATGCTACTACCATGTGTGCGTCGCCCCCCCAGGGGCGGCGCGGGCACCCAGAAATCTTACAGTATATGCGCCTATGCGTCGTGGTGGGCGCTTTCTGGCCACACGGGCCGGGAAACGATACATTACGAGGTGTTCGGGTCGGACGCGCACCTCCAGGGAGGATGTGTAGTACCAGTGTGTCTCCGTGCGTTTCATCACGGCCCCTCAGGTAAGTCCCGGGTGGCGTCGACGCACCCCGAGTACTCCCGGGCGGTGTCAACAATTTGGCGCCGCCTCCGGCGGCGCCCCTGGGGCGTTCCGCGCCCCAGGGTCGAGGTGTGGAGACCGCGCCAGACGACTCGGAGGCCCCGTGGAGGCCAACTGGGACTACTCGGGGGGCCCGTTGAGGCAGGCCGTGACTATATACGTAGTTGCCTGGGCCGGGCTGTCTGTGCGCAGCCGGCAGCCTTCCCAGCTCCACGCGCCTCCTCACATCCTCTTTTTCTTCTGGTCTCATCGGCGTTGTTTTTTATCCTTGGCGCGTAACGGTCGGTACCCGGGCCCCACCCCCCCCAACCTCCTTCCCTTCTGTGCAGCTGTAATGATCGTACGTGGAGGGCGGGGGGGGGGGCAGGGACCCCCTCCCGCCTCCCGCCCGTCCCGGGGGGGGGGGCAGGGACCCCCTCCCTTTGGTGCTCGCGCGCGTAGTATGGCGATTGCAGAGCACCCCCGCCCCGACGTGCCCCGCCCCGCCCAAGCATTGCCGTTGCCTGCCCCTCGCCCCAGGCAACCACCGCTACTGGAACCATTCTTCAAGACGACATCATTCTTCTCTCGTTCCCAGTCACGTGCGCTCCTCTTCTCTGAGTGATCCTCAGGCCGTGTGCTTGCCAACTGTGTATGCGAATGTGTGTATGCGTGTGTGGTTATCCCGTTCAGGTCCGCTGACAGTGCGCAGCGTGTGTCGCTCCTCCTTACGTTGCCTGCGTCGAGTCAAAGGGCGTCGGATGACTAGGCAAACATTGGCTCGAACACACGTTCCGAGGATCATCGACTCCTCGTTCCTCCCTGGGTATCCCGCATCCTTCGTCGCTTTCCTATCATCTCCAGCATGTTCTCTTCATTCTCGACTCCCTTGACGTCGCCAGACGTGCGTGCATTTGCCGCCCCTTTGCAGCGCCCCTCGCGGGTCCAGCGAAGCGGTGCCCAAACGGGTGCCCAATCAGGTTGCGAGGGAGAGGGCGGCAGGGGATTGTGGAGGGCGGAAGAGGAGGAGGCGGAGAGCGGGGAAGACGAGGAGGACAAGGGAGTGGAACTGAGGAGGAGGAGGCCGTGACGAGGAGGCCGCGGATGAGGAGGAGGACGAGGAGCAGGTTGAGTTTGAAGATATCCGATGTGGCCATACGTTTGGGTCCATGGGCTGGACAGACTTTGAGGCCAGCTGTTCCCCGATACGTTTCGGAACTGTTCGGGGAACACGTGGATGAGAAAAATAAGAGTACTAATCATGATACTACTACGATTAATGACAATAATACGAGGGAGAAAAAGAAACATAAGAAAAAGGAGGAGGATGAAAGGAGCAGGAGGATGAGGAGGTGGATGTTTGTGCGCCCCCCACTAACTCCTTCACAGGCTGCCCGCCTAGTTACTCCACGCCCTTACCGGCACGTCGTCTTTCTATTTGCAATATCTCTTTTTGCCGTTCTTTGGCCACACTGGCTTGCAGCTCAACGTCCTGCCCAAAGAGCCCTAGGCTGTCTCAATGCCATGCCGCGCCTTTTTGTCCGTACAACCGTCCTGACGCTACGAGCCTGGTTGATCTAAGTTTGCCTATCGCTCGACTAGACGCAAGAGTGACCCTTTGCCAGAATGACCTCTGGTGCGGGCACACTGGCGCCCCACGATCGCTGAACGTGGTGCAATCGTAGCGTCTTGCGCGCCTGTGTCTTGGTCACCCCGCGGCTCCCGAAAAGCCGCGCAGCAGAGGTCACTCGTACCCAGGGCCAGGGCTCGAGCTGAACGGTCTTTGGCGATTTCGTAGACCGTGTTCGTTGTGATGTCGTTTCGCAGCAGAGGCCACACGACGACACGACGAAGCAACACGAAAACGAAGAACACTTGCTTAGCTCAAGCCCTGCCCGGGGTCACTCCTGCGCGTCGCCGACTGGCGCAGGCAAGGCAGGAGCACTCCGCCCCCTCATTGGCCCCCTCCCCTTCCGGCGGCGGAGCTGGCGGGGGCGCGGGGCGTGGCGCCCGTCCGCACAGGCGCATGGCCGGCGCCCTGGCGGCCGTGGTGCGGGGCGCCGAGGACTCCCCGCTCGCCCTTCCGAGGGGCGAGGAGGCCCAAACCACGGATGTTCCTTAGGTGTTCGACGGATTCTGAGGTTCTCGCCTAGTGGGGTTTCCGACCGTTGGAGGCGGGCCCAAGGGGCTTCCAAGATAGCTCCAGGACAGCCAATGAGGCCCCCGAGAGGGCCCCGAGTCGACCCAGGAGGACCCCGAGATCGCCCAAGAGGCTCCCAGGAGGACGGGCCACTCGCCTCCCTGAAGCAGCCCAAGAGGCCCCAAGAGGCTCGGGTTCTAGGGGGGGGGGGGGCCGGCTGTCTGTCGGCGGCGCGCCCAGGAGGGGAAGGGCAGCGGTTCGAGGCTCGAGGTGTTCGCGGGCGTTCTCGGCGGTCTTCCAGCCTCGGGCTGCTCTCCGGCAGCCGCGCCTCGCCGAGGGCGCTCTGGGAGGGCCTCGATCGTCCCAGGCGGCCGCCGGAGGCCCGGACGGCCCGCAGACCACCAGGGGCGGGCCTCAGCCTTGGGGGAGGAAGGGCGGAGCTTTCGGACGTTTTCAGCGGTTACTGGTATCCTGCCTCGGGATGCGTTCTGGCAGCTGCGCCTCGCCGGGGGCGTTCTGGGGTGCCCGACTCGTCACGAGATCCGAGGTCATGCCCTGGAAGCCGTTGTCAGGCTCCAGACGGGGCCTGGCAGGCAGGTTCCATTCTGACTCGATCCTATTCGCTCTTGAGCTCGCGGTGCTCGAACCGATCCGATTTGAACCTTTCAGCGGTCCAGTGCGGCCCAATGCCTGCAAGGCGCAGCGCAGCTCTGTGCATCCGCTTGCGCACCGGGCCTGAACCGACTTCGACGCCGCTCCGATATAGCCGGGTTCAGCGCGCATTCCGATTTGATCTGATTTTCCGATTCGGTGCTGACTGATTCTAGGTAGGAGGGGGTGCGTGTCCGGGAAGAACGAGTGAGGCTCCGCGAGTTGCAGGAGGAGGAGAAGGAGGAGGAGGAGGAGGTGACAGATGGTGGAGGAGAGGGGGAGCCTCCACGGGCGGGGGAGTTGGGGGCGAGGAGGGAAGGAGAGAAGGATGGAAGGGTGGGGTGTGGGGGAGGGAGGAAGTTTCCACGAGGAGGAGGAGGAGGGAGGCATAACTTAGAGGGTGGAGGGACCCTTCGATCCGGCGTCACAAAACATGCAACATCGCATAAAATCACAACTGGGACCGTAGACCCCATCTTCCTTCGCCATTTTTCGAGCCCGATCGATCCGTGAGGGTCCCTGGGCCCGAAACTCAGCAAAGTCACCCCGCTCGACCAAAAATACGACGCCATGATCTCAGGGGAGTGAGAGAGGAGAAGGGAGGAAAAACCAGTGAGAAAGGAGCCGCGATGCACTGCCCGGGTCCGATTCTTTGCTCGACTCGTACGTGCGTGCGCGGCACCGCACGCCTCCCTCCGTCTCCTCGCGCCCCTCTTCCCGCCTGTTTTTTCGCTGTCCGAGGGCACGGTTTTGATCGTGCCGTTGTGGTGGCAGTGGCGTTTGCGTCCCTTCTGCGAAGAAGCACGGATCCATCAGGGAGAAGTGAGAGGGAAAGGAGGAGGCGGAGGAGGATGGGCAGGAGGCGAAGGAGGATGAGGATGACGACGAGGCGGAGGACAGAGCGGACAAGGAGGAAGGGGGGAAGGAGGAGGAGGAGGAGCAGGAAGAGGAGCAGCAGCAGCAGCAGGACAATGAGGAGGAAGACGTCACGGCAAGCGGATGGCGAGGAGGTCGCGGGTGGAGCAGAGTGGCGATGATGTCCAGGCGGGGCAGGACGGGGAGGGGGGGAAGTGCACGACGAGGAGGATGTGGAAGGGAAGAGGCGGGGGGCGAGGGCGGTCGTCGGATCGTCGTGGGCGCCCCCCGCCCTCCGCCTTTTCCCTCCCCCCTGCTCGGCCGCCCTTGCATGCTGCTCCAGGTCTGTTTTACTTCCTGTGGGAATTGTAATCAACAGCCCCTGTCGGCAGTGGCTCGGCAACCTCTCGAGTAACTAGGCCGGACACGTGCTTGCAAGCCGGGCCCCAGTGGACACCGGACATAAAGAGGGCCCGGTGCCGGGGCGGCGGACAAGGAGGACGAGGAGGAGGAGGAGGAGGAGGAGGAGGAGGAGGAGGAGGAGGAGGAGGAGGAGGAGGAGGAGGAGGAGCGGGAGGAGGACCACGGCGGGCTGGGTGACGGGAGCTCTGGGGACGACGGCGCGCGCCAGCCAGGAGCTCAGCTACATCGACAGGGCGTTCGCAGACGCCCCCATGCCGCCGCCGCCGGCGCCCGCCGAGGCCCGCGGCCTCGGCGGCGGCTGGGGGCCATGGGGGAAAGCGGGTCCTGAGGGAACCGGGTCCTGCGGCTTATCGTTTCGGGCTCTCGGGGCCCTCCACGGGCTCAGGGACTGTCAGAAAACGACTCAGGACAAAGAGCTCGTCCTGCGGGAAAGCCCCGGGGTCCAGGACCCGTTTCCCTCAGGACCCGCTTCCCCCATACTCAAGGAGGGGGCGCTTGGCGGCCTGGGCGCGAGCCGGGCGGGGGGCAATCGGCGGCGCGAGGGAGCGCGAGAGAGAGGCGCGGAAGGCGCCTCGCCACAGTCTGGCCAGGGGCGCCTGGGCTCCCCCTCCCCTGCGTCCTCCTTCTCCTCCGCCTCCCGCTCTTCATCTTCGCCTCTCTGCCCCTCCTCCTCCTCCTCCTCGTCCTCCTCCTCCTCCTCCTCCTCCTCTTTGACCTCGCCGTTGCCCTCATAAGTTCCCTCGCCCTCTCCAGCCGGACTGTCTAGGCGCAGAGGCCACCCGAGGCCTGAATGGCCCGGGCCTCCCTCGCGTCGTGGACGGTCCGTGGCCGAGCTCGGCTTCTGGGGGCCCTTGCCGGGCCCAGGGGGGCGGTGGCGCACGGGGGCGGCTGGCGGGCGCGCGCGAGGCGCCGGAGGTCCGAGGAGCTCCTCGCTTCGGCAGAGGGCCGCGCTCCCTCGCCCCGCGCAGGGCAGAGCGCAGCACCGAAACAGAAACCCAGCATGGGCACCCGGATCGCAGCAGGGGTGCATCGGCGACGGCCATGTTCAAGCAGTGGCGAAGCGTCTTGGCTCGCCTGGAGGCCTACCAAAGAATGTTCTAAGAGCCTTTGGTGGTTTGCACAACATGTTCTTAGAGCATTTCTGGTTGAGACTGTTGTGTTTTGACGCATCGGGCTCATGTTCTAAGAACATTGCTTTTGTTTTTCGAACGTTGTGGAGTTCTAAGAGCATTTCGTGGTAGGACTACAGGAGTGCCGGGACGGTCCGTCCCTGCTCAGCATGTGCACTCCAGGGCATCTGCCGCCCGGACCACGCACATGCAGCCCGCACCGCGGCGAGCGCACGATTCCCGGAGGAGCTGGGAGGAGATCTCGGGCGAAACGGCTGCCAGACCTGGCGTCCTCGGGCTCCCCGTCCACCCACTGCGGGACTCTTCTGCGGCCACTTCTCACTATTTTTACAGCCCTCTGGCGAACTGCTATTAGGGAGGAGCGCCATAAACCTAATTCTTGACGCGCGTGCAGCTGGCTGCCCGCAGACCTGGAGTGAAATGGACCGACAGGACTTTCAGCTGAAGGCGCCGATGCTCGTCATTGAGAAGATCGTCCCAGCCGCCTCCCTGGCCCCCCTGGGTACGCACCGCTGCTCGGTGTGCGCGCTTCACGTCGCGCTCGCGGGCTCAGACGCCTTCCTGGGTGACGACGATCGGTGTGCGGGGCTCGCCTACATCGGCGGCGGACTCGCGCTATCCAACACCGATCTGAACGCCCCCTTGCCGTCCGCCCCTGCTCCAGGCACCAAGCAGGACCCTCCACACATTCCCGACGACAGGCTGACAGCTGAGCAGAAACACGGCAGGTTCAAATGCGACAGTTGCGGTAAGGACCAGCTACGCTCCACAGAAGGCACGTGGATATCCGACGACACACGCCTGATGGTAGCGCAGAACCGGCCCCAGACCTACCTCGACGGTGCAAACATGGAGTGGCACTGCGAGATCAGCTGGATCCGACACCTGGAGGACCAGGGCATCCCAGCACCAACCGGTGCAACAGTAGCGGACAAGGTCAAAGAACACGAGCAGCACAGGATCGGTGCCGCAAGCGACAAAAAGGCGGATACCCTCCCCTCCCTGGGTCACCTCCAGTTGGCTTCGGATGCAGCCCCCAGGCAGACACGAGATCGCTGTCGGACCTCATCATGACGCCGACGGGCATGCAGATCCCTGAGCGCGCCGACACCACCATTCCCATCCTACGGGTCAGGGATGAGCGGTTCGGTTTCAAAGCTGCGGAAAACAAAGTCTACTCCGCACGGTGCGACACATGCCCCCCAGGGGCACCGCTCCTGGTCTGGAATACTGGAGCCTCTCCCCTGGACTGCTTCATATGGAAGCCAAAGGAGGGGGTAGGAGTTCCCGAGCAAGCTGGGCTGCCTCCCATCGAGCGGCGAGCCATAGCCTGGTGGGAGCGCAACTGGAACGCCACTTGGTGCTGCCGGCGTTGCCTGGTCCCCGCATGGAACATCGGGCCAGCAACCCTGGACCAGATCCTTGACAGAGATTACAGGGCACTGTGCCCAGCCGAGGCCCCTGTCCTCCCAAAGCTCAACAGCCAGATAGTAGCGGATGTGCCAGTGGACATTGTTAAATCCCTTCCATGGATGGGCGCTGACGCCAAGGCCCCAGATCGCTTCACCAAGGCTGGAGCGGCAAACCTCCCTGGGTCTAGCGCCTCGGGTGGAGCGGCCCCCGCGGCCGAGCAAGCCCCCAGGACTCTTGCGCAGCTCATGGAACTCCTGCCAGAGCTGCCAGTCCCGCAGGGGCCGCTCCTGGACTGCAGGGGCGTCAACAACCCCACGCTCAGCCCAGATGACCCCAGGAGCGGATCGGGCGGCGGAGACGTGGTGGTTCAGCGACTCCTGGTGACCTACCTCCGGGACTTCCACCCTGGACTGGACTACACCTGGCGACAGTTCTGTCACGGCCATCGCGATGACAGCATCCCAGAGCCTAAAAACGAAGAAGCCTCCTGGCCAGGCGGACGGTTGACGGAGTTTCTCAGGATGGCGCACGGCGAATGCATCTCGAAGGATTGCTCCCCGTTCAACCAGCCCTGGGAAGGCAAACGACTGGCCGCCGCGCGGGTCGTCTCCCACCTCACCAACGGCGAAAAGCACAAGGAGTCCTGGGAGAGGCACGCCGTGGCCCTCGCCCCGGCGAGTGGTTTCAACCCCGCCAGACACGAGATGGGCACGCTGACGAGCTTCCTACGCAGCCTCAGCGCCAACGCCCTGGCCTCGGCAACCATCACCTCCCTTGCCGAGTCGCGCGTGCAGGCAATGAGTGAGGACAGACCAAGCACCTCTGCTGCGGCCGGTGCAGACAACCCCTCGGGCACGACAGACGACGACACGCGTTTTGGTAACCCGAATGTGCCTGGCCACGCTGCCAAAGACGAGGATGGCGAAGACGAAATCACTCCTACTGAAAAAGCGGATTCAGCCGACTTTGGAGGCCCCCAAGAGTCTCCTCCTCCTGGGTCCTGCACGGGGTCTGCCACGGAAGTTGACGACGACGGCCCCGGCGACAAGGCGCCTCAGCAAAGCCCCGCGGCAGACAGCATGGATCCCAGCTCCGACCCCGACCCGATAGCCGCCGGGGGTGGCACAGCCAACGCCGAGCAGAACGCCAGTGGGACCAGGGGACCAGATCACGACGAAGTTGCCCAAGGCAGAGGTAATGCGCAGGATCGTCGCCCCCCACTACGTAACCCTCAGGCACCTGGCAGGCTTGCCTACTCTCGATCAACGGAGCGACGCGCACTCAACCAGCTGACCGACGCCCATGGAGGCCCCATGTACAAGGCCTGGCTGGGCTCCGTGGACTTGGAGCGCCGCGGGGAGTTGCCCGCCAAGCGCATCGCCAGGCGCCAGATGGAGTTGGGTGGAGTATTCTGTGCTCTGTGGACGGCGTGCATAACAAGGCATCCGGATCCCTGGGGCCAGGGAACCCAAGTCAGACCCGAGGCTGCACTCGGACGCGGCCATCAACAAGTTCTTGGATGACTGGAAGGGTTGCGGATACAATGCCTACTTGGTGGACAAGAGGTTCAACTTCCACATCGATTGGGCAGCGGCGCGGGCCGAATACCTGCGCCGCACCTGGCCCGACGGCACGGGCAAGGGCAACCACCAGCAGAGCAGCTGGCGCGAGCGGGCGACGAGCTCCTGGGACGCCTGGGACAACTGGCAGAGTGACTGGAGCGCTGGCTGGCACGACGACCGGTGGCAGTCAGGAGGCAAGCGCGGCGGCGGCAGACCACACGATCGTGGGGGAAAAAGGCAACGATGGGGCGACTGAGGTCCCCTCCCACCCATCCCGTCCCCTAGAGGGACAGGTGTAGCGCCCGAGCTTCACACTTCGCGCAGCCTTCAGCTGCCTCCTTGTGCTCTCTCAACCCGTGTGGCAGCCTTGCTACCGCCCTCCCTGGTACACGCACTTCCTGCCTTAGGACCCAAGTGCGTCGACCAGCAATGCCATCTGCATTGCTGCGCGAGGGGGTGCTGCGTGCAGACCTTAGTTGGCCCTTGGCCCCGCTGTAGTTGTTCTCACTTCTGGCCCGGGCGGATCCCGTCCCCAGCCGTGCGGCTTCGTGACCGACGCAAGTGCTCCGCCTCGTCTTAGTCCTGAGTCGCACTTTCAATCCCTGAGTTCTCAAGTACAGCGGCCTTCAGCTGCTCTACAGACACCATATTCGTTTGGTGGCCCTCCGCCGCCCTCCCTGGCACGTGCACTTCCTGCCTTTGGACCCAAGTGCGTGTGCCAGCAATACCGTCTGCATTGCAACACCCGTACGTGTTGCGTGTAGTCATAGTGGCCCCGGCCCCGCTGTAGCTGGTTTCACCTTGCCAGGCTTGCCCCGGCCCGCGGTTCTGTGACCGACGCAAACATGGCTTCGCCTCGTCACCCTCAGAGCCGCGCTCTCACTCCCTGGGCTTCCCCAAGATACCACGGCCTTCAGCCGCGCTTCTCCACCTTCCCTGGGAGCGACCCTGGGCTTGGACTCATCGTCAATGGGTCTCATCGCTGCTCAGGCGGTCTTGTGACGTGGTTCGCCCCGCTGCGTCGGCTGGAATGCCCACCTGGTCCGCTGCGGCCGCACTCGGACTGAGTCGCAGGCGTGCTCCCGCACATGACTTACAACTGTCTGGCAGCGGTTGGCCCAGGCGTGCTACCCCGGTGGCTAGTGGCGCACCGCCCGCCGCAAGGATCCGTGCGCACTGGCGTCGCCCTATCGTCGCTCCCACGCTCAACCTCGTTGAGCGGTCACTTCCTGGGCTTCTTCGTGACTACGGATTGCTTGTGCTGCAGTGGGTATGCGGCAGCGCAGCTTTCTCAGAGCGCTATTTCCCGTTTCTGGTCTTTCAGAGTCTCCTGGAGAGCTCATCTCTGTTATGTCACTTAGTTGCTTCCCGGTGCGCGCCCTGCCCCGGATGCCGTCGTGTCTCTCGCCAAGGTCGGGAGCAGGTGTACTTTTCACTGCGTCACATCATGTCGTTGATCTGTCGCGTGCGAACGCATTCTTCCGCAGTTGGTTTGAGGGTTGACTCCGGTTGTCAATGACTTCAGGCGTGCCTTTTCAGCCGCGTGGATGCGTACTCTGAACCTGCGACGGTTCGCTGGCGCTGTCAGGGTCCCTTCTCCCTGCTGGACGATGTCAGCTCTCTTGCCTTCGGTCTCGCTCATACCCGACAGACACCCTGGGCTACTGGCACACTTCTCGCACGGAGTCAGATCCCCACTGCCTTGAGATCGTCGGACCGACACGATCCTTGACTGGGGGTGTGCGTCGCGCCATTTTGGCAGCGTCCTCCCTGCTTCCTGGGTGGCTGTTTCCCTTCAGACTCCCTGGGCTGCAGCTTGCACCGCCGCCTGATCCGCGGCCCCCGCGCGCGCCCGGCTAATTTGTCACGGCCGCAGCCCGACCGTGGCCCGCCGCCGCCGGCGCTTCCGCCTGCGGCTGTCAAAAAAAAGAAAGTATCCCCACCAGGCTTGGCGGTGTCTTCCAATCGTGGCCCGGCCCTCACTAATTATCTGGCATTGCGCCCCATTGCCTTCTGACGCGCCCTCTGGACTTTTCCTTGCGGGCCGCCGAACAAAAAAGTATCCCCACCAGCGAAGGTGACCAGGGAGGCGGTCGGTGTTGGCATCAATGGTTTCGGGCGCATCGGGCGCCAGGTGGTCCGCATCGTCATGTAGGGCCCGCGACGGAGCCGAAGCTGGCCAGCACCAGCACGGTTACCTATGCCAGCGTTTGCGCCGGAACCAACGCCTGCACCAACGTCAGCATCGACGCCAGCAGCGACTACGCCAGCATCAGCGCCAGCACCGACGACGTCAGCGACTGCATCGATGTCAGCACCGACGCCAGCAACGACTACGCCAGCACCAGCACGGTTACCTATGCCAGCGCCTGCGCCGGCACCAACGCCTGCACCAACGGCAGTATCGACGCCAGCAGCGACTACGCCAGCATCAGCACCAGCACCGACGACGGCAGCGTTTGCATCGAGGACAGCACCGACGCCAGCAACGACTACGCCAGCACCAGCACGGTTACCTATGCCAGCGCCTGCGCAGGCACCAACGCCTGCACCAACGTCAGCATCGACGCCAGCAGCGACTACGCCAGCATCAGCACCAGCACCGACGACGACAGCGTTTGCATCGATGTCAGCACCGACGCCAGCAACGACTACGCCAGCACCAGCACGGTTACCTATGCCAGCGCCTGCGCCGGCACCAACGCCTGCACCAACGTCAGCATCGACGCCCGCAGCGACTACGCCAGCACCAGCGCCGACAGTGCAGCCTGCGTTTGCATCAGCGCCTGCATCGATGTCAGCACCGACGCCAGCAACGACTACGCCAGCACAAGCACTGTTATCTATGCCAGCGCCTGCGCCAGCACCAACGCCTGCACCAACGTCAGCATCGACGCCCAGAGCGACTACGCCAGCACCAGCGCCGACAGCGCAGCTTGCGCCTGCATCGGCGCCTGCATCGATGTCAGCACCGACGCCAGCATCGACTAGGCTGAAGCCTGGGGGCGAGCTCGTCGCGTGTGACGAGAACCTTACTGGGACCACATCTTCCAAGCTAGACGTGAACCTCCTGCCGCAGGAGGCCATCAACATCCGCATCGGCACCATCAACCTCGCCAGCTGGTGGCGCCACCGGGATGCTGCACTGAGGGCGGCCACGGAGCTGGGCGTCGACATTCTTGCGTGCCAGGAGTCCCGCATCAACGAGTACCAGATGGCCTCCCAGATCGCCGAGTGTACCAAATCTGGTTGGCACATGCTCCCGGGTACTGTGTCGGACTGCCCTGGGCAGGCCAGCCGGGGGATCCCTGCAGGGGGAGGTACAGTCGTCCTTACTTCTAACATGTGGCGCCCTGCCTGGCGCGCAGGCGCTCGCTTCCCTGGAGGCGAGGCTTCTGTCTACACCGTGCACCGCAACGACACGTTCTTCTGGCTCGTCAACCTGCACCGCCGGTGCACTGCGGACATGGACGCCACAGATGACTTCAAGACATGGTTGTTGGAACAAGCTGCAGCCATACCAGCCTGCGACACTGTTGTTTTCGCTGGCGACTGGAATGTTGAGGCCGACTCGCCTTTCAGCGTCGAGTTCGACACGACTCTCAACTATCGCTTCCTATTTCCTCCGGAGGCCAGTCGATGGCCAGGGCCCCGCATCGAGGCCATCGACTACTTCGCTATCCGTGCAGATTGGGCGCCCCTCGCATCCTCGGTGTTCTGTGTGTCACATCACATTTCGGATCATGGGCTCGTATTGCTGGACATGCCCATGCTCGTGGACACGTCCCCCAGCACAGGTAACAGGCAGCCCTACCACTGGGCCAAGCTACGCCGGTACCTACGACCGGACACTTTCCAGAATGATGAAGTGAAAATGGCGGCTTGGCTGGATACGGCGGAGCTGTTCTGGAATGACAATATGGGGAATTATGACAGACATACTGGGATGGAGGAGTATGGCGACATGGACTCTTGGTGGCAGGCGTGGTCAGAGGCATCTGAGGCCTGCTTGCAGCACATGCTCGTCCTCAACCCCCCGACCACTATGCCGAAAGGCGACTGGAAACACAAATGCCGAGTGCAAGAAAAACCTGAACTTGGGGGCGGCCCTGTATCCAAGACTAGCTGTGTTGAGGACCGGCTCCGACGCTTCATCCAGGTCGCCCGGGAGCTTGGCCTGAAGTGGCAGCGGGGCCTCGCCACTGAAGCAGGCATGCTTGCCAGCGGCCTTGGGCTGACCGGCGCCCGCCAGCAGAAACTCGACCAGGCGCATCAGCGTCTCCAGCACGAATCGAATGTCTCCCGGAGGGAGAGGATCTCGGCATGGAAGCGCCGCATGAAGATCGACCCCGGCGGCTCTGCTGTATACAAGTGGATCCGAGGAGCACAGTGGCGGCCAACGGACGCAGCGGTCAGAATCAAGGATAAGCTTTTCACTGGCGCTGGGGCTGCACATGCCGTCCGTGAACACTACCAGCAGCATTATCAGGCCTGTGGGAATGGCAACAAGATCAACGACGTCATGTACGAGTTCTGGGAGGAGCTCGACACTTTCAAGAGCAGGATCGCCGCCAGGGACCAGGCGGAGAGCGTATGGAGGGAGCCGACTGGGGTTCTGGATCGTTTCCCACTATCTGGGGTCAACGAGCTCAGGCGCGCCCTCAAACCCATGAGGGGCAAGGCTTGCGGCGTTGACGGCTGGTCTGCCGATGAGGCTTTGCTGCCGGACTCGGCCCTCGAATCTCTCATCAATTGTTTTGCTAAGATCGAAGAGGGCGCCCGACCGCCGACCGACTGGTTGAAGTGGCGCCAAATCCATATCCCGAAGGACAGCGGACGCGGCACCCCAGAGGTCGCCAGGCTCCGCCCCATCAGCATCGCCTGCGTTTGGTGGAGGGCGTGGGCCAGATTCCGCGCCGGGCAGATTGCGGAGTTCTTGAAACCCATGTGGCCGGCCGGGCAGGCCGGCGGCATCCCAGGAGTCACGATTGAACATATCATCGAGCCTCTTCTCTCGAGTATTGACGAGACCCGTAGCAATTGGTTATGGCAGCAATGCGGCACGGACGCAGAGCACCTCACTGTTCCAGGTCATGCTGAGCTCCACGTGGCCTCGTGGGACTTCGAGTCTGCGTTTGATCGCGTCGACACCATGCTCACGACTGAGATTTTCGAGTACCTTGGGGTGCCTCTTCACGTTTCACGTGCTATCCGAGCTTTTTGGACAGACCAGTACAAATACATAGAGGTTGGCACGTACGTCGACCCACAATTCGTCCATGTATCAAGGAGCCTTGCCCTGGGGGACCCTTTGAGCATGCTCGCCATGGCTGTGTTGTTAGCACTGCCGCATCATCGTGCGCAGAGGCATGCGCCGTCGGCCACGAGCGCGCTCTACGCAGACGACCGGACCACCATCACCAGAGATGTTCGTACCATGCAGGTTGTTCAGCGGGTGTGGCAAGTTTTTGAGTCTTTGACTGCTATGTGCACAAACCCCAAAAAGACACAGACCATCGACTTGTTCCCAGGTGCCCGCAAACTCCCCTCCGAGGAGATGAAGGTGCTCGGGGCCAAGATGACCCTCCACGGCAAGCCCAGCACTGAGGACGAGGCCCCTGCGATCCGGATCCTTCAGCAGCGATGCCCGCGCATTCGTTCACTACCATTCCCGTGGTGGCAGAAGAGAAGATTGATGCCCTGTGCTTACGCCCGGCTGCACTGGGTAGCTGCGCGGTCGCCTCCGGGCAAGATCAAGATCCAGAAGTGGCAGTCCTACATCGACCACGCCGTCCTCGGAGGCAGGTGGCGCTCGGGTTGTCTCCATCTCAGACACTTGCTGGTCACAGGGCGCTCTTGCTGCATCCTCTACAGAATTATTTCGCGTCTGTGGGTGATCTGGCGGGCCCGGTACAAACGGCGGGGAGCAGTTGCAATCGATTACCTTGCCAAGGTCGCGGAGGCGCCTGCCCCGACTGCAGTGCGTCGTCTCACGCGCCACCGTGGCCCCACCGCCATGCTCAACGACTTGATGCACCAGTTGTCTCTCAGCTTCTGCGAGCACAACAATCAAAAGGGCTGGCACGGCTGGCTGGGAGACGATCCAATCAGTATTGGTCCAACATTCTCCACCAAGGTGGCGCAGCATCTGGCGCGGCTTGCACTGCGGCGTTCGTGGTGGGACGCATTCAAGGGCATGCGGCGCAAGGACTCGCTGCTGGCCGCGTCCGCGCGGGTCAGCTTCGCCCCGCAGGCCCTGGCGCTGCTTCACGATCTAATCAAGAGCGATCTTGGGAGCCATGCGATCGCTGTTCTCACGGGTGCTGTTTGGAGCACTGCCAAGTATGACAAGATCCTCAACGGGGCTGTTGCTCCTCGTTGTCACAGGTGTGGAGGCGAAGTCAGTTGCTGGAACCATGAGGCGTGGCACTGCCCCGCACTCTCGTGCTTCCGCGTCGGTATGGTGACGCCGTCTTCTGCATTTGAAAGAAGGACAGGGTGGCCCTCTCGGCTGCCCCAAAACTACAAGGAACAATGACAACATGATCTGATATGCCTTGCCAAGATCAGGCGACATGTGTTGAGAGAGCGTTGGGGCGCTCCCAACTCACAGTCCGACTCAGCAGCTCCTCCTCCGCGAGCCCCACCAAACATACTTCGACCAGCGAGCAGTTCATACCCAAGCTTGAGCCATGTCCTCGAGGATGACCCAGGCAGGCAGTACTTCCAGTACATGCCCGTCCGGGACAACAACTACCACTATCTTCACCCCTCCTGGGGTGATGGTCCCTCGGGACCTGCCTAGGCATCTGCCTGGGTTCGTGCAGCGCGCCCTGCGGAGTATCTCGCGTGCCAGATGAAGTGCGACTCGATCCGCGGCAGGCACGACGGCACTGTCGAGGTCGACGGGGACTCCTTGGTGATCGACGGCCACAAGGTGGCGCTGTCGCACACCCGTGATCCGGCAGAGATCCCCTTCAAGGAGCACGGCGCGGACTACGTCCGCGAGTCCGCCGGCGTTTCCTGGCGGATGAGAAGATCCAGCCGCGCCTCAAGGCGGGCGCGAAGAAGGTCGCGTTCTCGGCCCCGGCCAAGGACGACAGCCACACCATAGTGATGGGCGTGCACCAGGACACCTACAAGAGTGACATGGACTGCGTCTCGGGCACTTCGTGCACCGCCAACGGCCTCGCCCCCACGGTGAACGCTGTCAGCGACGCGTTCGGCATCAAGCGGGGCCTGATGACCACCATCCACGCCATGACCGCGGCTCAGCCAACCGTGGACGGGGCGTCGAAGAAGGACTGGCATGGTGGCCGCGCGGACTGGGCAACATCATCCCCTCCTCGACGGGGGCGGCCAAGGCGGTGGCCAGGGTCGTGCCAGAGGTGGCGGGCAAGCTCACCGGCCCGGCTGTCCGCGTGCCCACCATCGACATGACGGTCGTGGATCTCACTTGTGAGCTGGAGAAGGCGACGACCTACGAGGAGCTCTGCGCCGAGATCAAGAGGCGTTCGGAAGGCGACATGAAGGGTTTCCTGGGCTACTGCGACGAGGCCCTCGTGTCCACCGACTTCGAGACGTGCCCTATCTCCAGCGCGTTCGATTCCAAGGCGGCCATCATGCTGGACCCCACGTTCGTGAAGCTCGTGGCCTGGTACGACAACGAGTGGGGCTACTCGTGCCGTGTCGTTGACCTGATCAAGCCACAGTGGCATCGCCGACCTTCGACGACAGCGTGGCGCCCCCTCCCGCTCCCCTTTTTTTTCTCTGGTTTGTGCGGCTTTCGGCTGCGACTCCCCCTCCTCCTCCTCCTCCTTGCTCAGTCGGCGTTCCGCGTCGCGCGGATTCCCCCCGACGCTGCCCGCCTGGCATTGCGGCTCTCGGCTGCGCCCCCGCACGGAGTCTGATGCCGAGGAGCTACGCGGGCCTCGAAGGCACCCTGATGGCCCCCTGGCAAGACTCGGGGTGCTTTCCGATGGCTGGGGCCGCCATGGAGCGTCGGTCAGTGAAGGCCCGCGATAATCTGGCCCTGCTGGCGTGGTGTTCCCCCCGCAGTGCCCAGGCCAGGCCCTCCACGGGGCGCAGTGGAGCGACCACAGTGGCATCGCCGACCCCGCGTGCTTCCCCCAGACGATGCTGCTCTGGGCGAGTGACAGCACAGCCACCCGCAGAGGTCTGGCGCTCTGCCCCCCCCGCGGTCGCAGAGAACCCCCCGCAGCGAACGGTGGAGCACTCGGGCATCCTTGGCACCTGGAGGCTCACTGGCAGGGCTCCGAGGTGCGGTCGGGTTGCGCGGCTGTCCTATGTTGTTTCGGACAACCCGGGTCTGCTGCAGTCCGCCCCCGCCGGCGCGACTCCTCCAGCCCCTGGATCGGGCGCGGTTCGCCCGCGTGGTCTGGGAGTGGTTCTCGGCGCTTCTGGTGCTGGGCTACGGCATGGCGCAGCCTGGCGCGCCCCCCCGCCCCGGCACCACCTGGGGCCGGACCTGAGGAAGAGCGCTGTCCCGACAAGTGGTTCACCTTTTGGCCGGTTGCCGTTGTTCCCCCATCAGGTCCGCTCCTGCCACCTCGGTTGACGCTCGCATCATTGCGCCCCCGTCCTTCGTGATGGATAAGCTGCCCGCGTTGTGCGCCGGCGACTTGGTTGTCCCGCTTCTCACGGCGGGCGCCGCCATCGAGCTCTTGCTACTGCACAAGTGGTATATCCTGTGGCAGTGCTTCTCGGCCCCCCCGCCGGGTGGTCCGCGGTGCTCGACCACGCTTGCAGCTGCATTCCCCCGGCCTTCAGTGTCAGGCAGTTGCAGGTTGTGGACTCCGAGACAGGGGCGACGTCTTCATGCATAGGTCGTTCGCTTATGCCCGACTACTCCCAGGAGTCCATGTGAGTGAGGCGTTCTTCGGTTCCCCCCCCTTCTGTCCGCGCGTGCTCTCGCGCCCTCCGCGCGTGCTCTCGCGCCCGCCGCCTTTCCTCGCTCCTTCGCCTCCTCGTCGCGTTGGACGGCGCGGCCTCTCTGGCCCCCCGTGCTGCCGCAGCGCAGCGTGCCCGCGCCGGCACGCGCTGGTCAGTGCGGTTCGAGTTGGCGCCACTGTGCGATTCCTCCTCCGTCTGTTTTTCCTTCCGGTGCCTGCGTCCCCGCCCCTGGGTCGCCCGCGTCCTCATGGGGGGCATTTTGCCCATGGCACGTGCACTTGTTGCGTCGGCCTATGCGTCGTCGTAGCCAATTATCTCGCGTTGCGCCACAGCCGAGACCCCTCGCTTCCTGGATCTGCCCTTGGAGCCGTCAATCAAAAAACGTACCCCAACCAGCCAGACGTCTCCACCACCAGCGTGCCGACCCTCACCACCCGACGGCGGTGCTGCGCGCCGGCGGACCTCTCCGCTCAGGATCCGGCAACACAGTTGCGCCTTGGGCTGCCGCTGGCCCCCCTCGGCACTGGGAGACGGATTTCTGAGGGCCGGGCGCTTAGTGGTTCAGCCTGCAACGCCTGTTTAGCCTTTGGTTTTTCCCCCGCGCACTGTCTCGGTACGCCAGCGGACCACTCCGCTTCAGGATCCGGCAACACAGTTGCACCTCGGGCTGCCGCTGGCTCCCCTCGGCACTGGGAGGCGGATTTCTGAGGACCGGGCGCTGAGTGGTTCAGCCTGCAACGCCCGTGCAGCCTTTGGTTTTCCCCCGCGCACTGTCTGGTTACACCGCGCAGCCGCTCGGCTTGTGCAGGTCGGCAAGGAGTCTGGCGCCGCCCTGGCGATTCACTTCGTTGCACCCGCACATTCCTCTCGGCGGCCTGTTCACTTCGGTTCGCGCTGCTGCGCCTGCGTGCGTTCGCTTGTGAATTTAGTTCATTTTGTTTTGTGCATGTGCAACTGCGAGTTCGCCTTGGGGGTGCGAGCTTTGTCCGCCGACACTGGCGGCTTTGTTTGCAAATTCGCCCCGTACCGTGGCCCGGACGCCGCTTTTGCTCCTTGTCCGTTTCTTCGGAACCGCCGACCAACAAAAAAAAAACCACCAGCTCCGCTAGTTTGATGCGTGGTTGCAGGTACAGACCCGGTCATGCTTTCCTGGCGTGCAGGACTTAATTCCACTTTGTCGTCTTTCAGCCTCCGTCATGCACGTTGCACCAGCTACCGTGGCTGGCTGCAGACTGCACGGCCAGCCCCCCCTCAGCTGCAGCCCCGCCAGCAACCGCTTCTGAGCGCCGGCCCGGCCGTCTCGTGCGAGGATCGGTAGTTAAGTAGGCAGCACCGTGCCCCGGACCTCTCCTTCGGCGACAGCTTTGCGCGTCAGCCCGCGAGAAAAAATGCCCCCACCAGCTCATCCAGAATCGGTTTGCCAGGCGCGTTGAAGCGTTGTTGTGGGAGGTTCTCGGGGACCCAGGGGTCTCTTGGAACCATTTCGGGGCTCTCTGGAGGTCATCTTGGGGCACTATTGGTGCTCTGTTGGGGCCATTTTGGGGCCCTCTTTGGGCCCTTTGGGCGGGTCTGAGAGGTTTCTTGGGTCCGTATTGGCCCCCGTAGCTAAAAGGGGGGATCCTCAATTCAGGTCCCCCCCCTCGGAGGCTCCAAAAATTACCCTTTGGGGCCTTTTTGGGGCGCTCTGGGTGTGTTTTTGGGCGCTCTTGCGGCCTTCTCGGGGCCCTCTGGGGCTATTTAGGGAGGAAAGCCATAAACATAATTCATCGGAGGTCCGCGTGGAGTTCTTGGATCGGAGTTGGGACCCCCTGACTGTGCCTCCAGCGCCGCCCAGTGGGTCCTCCGCGCGCCAGGGAGGGGGTCCAACGCGGATCCATGAAATCTGCACGGACATTCGAGAAGTTAACTAGGTTCGCGTCGTCTCAGGCGGCGACCCCGCCGCCGGCGTTCAATGTTGAAGGCCGCTGGCGGCCCAGAATTGGCCCATGTTGAAGGATCCGGCATTTCTGAAACGGCCTGTCGTTCAAGGTTGAACGATCCCCGCGATGTCAGAAACCAACGCCGAAGTCGACACATCAACATCAGCATCAGCATCAGCATTATCATCAGCATCAGTATCAGCATCATCATCATCCGTCGCCATTTTGGCTCAAGTTGGAACCATCGCTCCGTGGTTCCATCTTGGGAGCAGCCAGGGAGTAGGCTCAAGAGTCCTGCCAAGAGGTGGCGTGCGCGCCCCCTCTCACTGTGCCCTCGCTCCACCCACAGTGTGCACACCCTCCAGATTGTTCCGCCCCGCCATGTCAGACAAGGCTGAGATTAACAAGATGCTCGATGCCCACCTGGCGTCGACCGCAACAATGGTCGATCAGAAGATCGCGGGCGTGACGGCCAGTCGGGATCCAAGGTCAGTTGATCAAAGAACTCGCCAGCCGTTTCGAGAAGGCAGAAAGCAGGATGGACGCGTTGGAACACGCCCAGCAGATTGCAGCATCTCGCTCTCCCTTGTCTCATGCTGTTCTGGGGAATCATGGGAATCGCAGGGCCGTAGTTCAGTCGGTGATGGATCGACCACAAGAGGGGGAGGTCCGGCTCTCGAGGATGCTCACCGTCTTCTCATTCTCGGGTTTCAGGGCAGCTGATGGCTGCCAATCTCGAGCGTGTCGCTATATTGTCGCCAAGTGTGCTACAGATCAGGCTGCCCAACTCAGTAAGATTCGTGCGTATGACTTGCAGAAGAAGGTCACTCGGACTTCCCTACTACCGCCATAGCCTCTGACTTCCAGATGAACTTTCGGAGGAGCTGAGCGAATCCTATTCCATGCCCAACCCTCGGAACCTTGCGGAGCTCTGGCTTCTTCGCGTACGTCGCAATATTTCTCCTCAGCGTCGGCTCCTCTTCTTCAAGATGGGGAAAAATCGGAGTGCAGTGCGGGAAGAGATGAACAAGGTAGGACTTCAGGCTAATTCGAACGGGATCGGTGGCGATGTTTTCGGTCTTCGTTTTTGCGAGGATCCCGCACCTCTCTTTCGTCTGTATTGCTGCCCATAGCACGGACAACATTCACATGAGGTTGACGAGGCAGGATTGACAGTGTTAAACCTCAACTCTCCTGAGCTGCGTCAGACAGACATTTTTGGATGCCTTCGAAGCCGCGCCCACACGGCCCTTTTAGACAGGACGATGGTTGGTTAGGCTGCCTTCGGGACCAAGCTTTTGTTCCTCCCTCAGGGGCCCCTGACTCGACCTTCTTTGGACTCGAATGTGTCTTCCCAGTTTTGGTCCAGCAGCCCAGCCTCTGTCTCGAGCAGCAGTTCCAGTTCCAGCACCCATCTTGATGACGGGGTACACAGCGGAATAAAGAACAAAAGCATCATCATATTCAGCATCATTATCATCATAATCATCATCATAATCACCATAATAGTCATCCTCCTCTTCCTTCTCCTTCTCTACCTCCTCCCTTTCCTCCTCCTACTCATCATCACCATCGTCATCAGAGTCAGCATCGGCATCAACATCATCAGCATCAGCATCAGCATCCTCCTCCTCCTCCTCCTTCTCCTCCTCCTCCTCCCCCTCCTCCTCCTCCTCCTCCTCCTCCTCCTCCTCCTCCTCCTCCTCCTCCTCCTCCTCCTCCTCTCTCCTCCCCCCCCCGCCCCCTCGCGGTAGGCGGCGTGCCTGGAGAGCGTGGCGGTGGGCCCGCCGGGCTGCGACTGGCGGGCCGCCGTGGGGGGCGAGGACCGCGCCCCTCGCGGGCCCGAGGCGTTCTTCGGCCCCGAGGCGTCCGGGGCTCTCGGGCGCTGGTTCGTGCGTCCTGAGCGTCGTGCGTCCTGAGCTTCGGGCTGCGAGCGTCGAGCTGCGTGCTTCGAGGTCCGAGGTTGGAGGCTGGAGGCCTCGGGCTTCGGGCTTCGGTCCTGGGCTTCGGGTTGCGAGCTGCGGGTTGCGGGCTGCGAGGTCCGAGACTGGAGGCTGGAGGCCGGAGGTGCCCGCCGTAGTGTTCTGCGCTCGTCCAACCTTGCGGCCCGTGGCGCGCTCCGGCAGCCGAGCGCCCTCGCAGGGGTGCGCTCCGGGGGGCAGCGGCCAAGCTTGGCCAGGAGAGGCTCGGCCCTGGCGGAGCTGACCTCGGCCATGCCGACCTCGGCCAGGCAGTCTCCCGTGCGTCCTTCGAGCTGTGAGGTTTTGAGGTTCGCGCTTTGAGGCTCGAGGTTTGGGCTTGAGGTTGGCGGTTGGAGGTGCCTGGACGACTCGGCTGCCCAAGATCAGCCCAGCCGAGTGTCGCCTGGCCGAGTGTCTCCCTTGTTCACTGGGGTCTCGGACGGGGGGGGCAGTCGGCGACAGGTTTTTTGGGTGTTGCTGGCGTGCTCGGCGATGTTAGGCGCCTTTTCCAGCCTCGGGATTCTCTCCAGCAGCTGCGTCTCGCAGAGTGCGGTTTAGGGGTGCTCGGATCGTCTCGAACAGCCGCCGGAGAACCGGAGTTAGGGCCCGGAGCCCGTCCATTTTGATCCGATCGACCCCGTCCGATTCGATGTCGATTCCGGCTGGCCCGATCCGATGCGAATCCAGTATTCCGACGGTCCGATGCGGCTTGATGTTTGCATGGCGTTGGTGTGCATCTTGGTGCAGCCGATCCGATCGATTTCCACCCCGTGCCGATGAGTCCCGATCCGATACACATTTCGATTCGATCCGATTTGCCGATACGATACTGACTGATCGTGTCAGAGCCCCGAGTCATCAGGGCAAGGGGTGGTCAGGGATAAGTTATCCTTGCCCCCCCCTGCCCTGATAACTCGGGTCTCCTGTTTTCGCGCCAGCGTTGCCCCAACCAGAGTTCTCCCGTATCACATTCGGCCCCATGTAGATCCAGTTGCGTTGCCGCGTATATCCGCCACCGCGCTTGCGAGGGAGACCTAGCGAGGCTGCAGTGCGGCAACGCATGCACGGAACAGCGAGACGCACCGAGCGCACCACACTGTTCGAATCACTCACTTTACAACACACATGTTGCACCGAGTAGATTGCAGCCGATTCAGAAATAGCCGTCGAAGGTGCACAGGGGATGGGCGTCAAAAGGAAAAGCAACCTGAGTCGGTGCAGGGAGTAGGGAATAGACAGTGAGCATGCGACGCAGCCTTTGTCGACATTGCTTCCTGCGTGCATCGACGCCCTCACGGGGCCTGTTGAGGGCCTCTTCGGGGCCTCTTGGGAGGCACTCGGGGGCTTCTTGGGGCTTCGGGGGCGTGGCGGCGCCTCTTCGGGATATTTTGAGGCTTCCTGGGGCTTGATTCCAGAAATCCGCGCGGACCTCCGAAAGTTTGTTTGATCGGCCGATATCCAATGGCTCCCGCGAGGGCGCGAAGTTATTCGCGCGTCGCGGTTCGGCGCCGATGCCTCCTCATCCTGCTGTGCTCCCTCTGGGGGGCGGCGCGAGAGCGCGAGGTTATGGGAGCTCCCGCGCCTCGCGCAGCGCGAAGGCGCGAAGTGAGGCGCCCTCGGTTTTCAGGGCGTCTCGTTGCCGAGGGGAGCGCCGTGGAGGAGTCTGTCGGGAAGTGCCGATTTGTGGCACAGGGCTGCGATGAAGGAGGGCCGCCCTTGATGATGATGATGCTGATGATGATGATGATGCTGATGATGATGATGATGACGACGAGAATCATGGCATGTTCGCCAGCGTGGACCCCGAACAGCGTGTGTCTGGCAGTACAGGTCGCGCAATGTATGCGGTGCAGTTTCTGTGATGCAAACTATGTGGTGCGATCTCTGTTGTGCATTGCAGTCGAATGTCGTGCATTCTACGTCGTGTCATCTACTCGGGGCAATCAATGATTTGTTATGTACGTCGTCTAATCCACGTGGTGCAACCGATGCGGTGCAATCTGTACGGTGCAATGTGTGCATGTACGTATGTATATCAATGTACCAATATGTCAATTTAACAATATGTGTGTATCTATGTATATGGTGCGATCTATGCGGTACAATCGACGCGGTGCAATCCATTTTGTGCAGGCTAAGTGGTGCGAAGTATACGCTGCAATCGATGCGGGGCAATCTATGTGGTGCAAAGTATGTGGTGCGATCTCTGTTGTGAAGTCCACGTTGCGGCGACGAGGCGGCGACGGCGAACACGGAGCCGCCAGACCGCCACCCAGGCCCAGTTCCCTGAAAGAGAAGCAATATACCCTAAGTGCAAGGCCTGTTTGCGGAATGACAGACAATTACACCAGAAACAACCCCAATCAGTGGATGATTTGGAAATTAGTGATATGGGTATTGAGATGAATTGAAGGATCGATAGTGAGAACAGTCGTGGGATCGATAGTGTGATCGATACTGAGGACGATAGTACGGTGGATCGTGAGACCGATAGTGAAATCGATTCAGTTTGATCGATAGTGATAACGATCGTTAGATCGCTCGTGCGATCTATAATGATACCGCTTGTGAGATCGATGGTGATATCGGTTGTGAGATCGACCGTGAGATTGATGGAGAGGTGGGGCATGAAACCGATGTTGATCGACCAGGAAGCCGGAAAAGCCAACCGCCCACCGAAATCTGCCCGGAACCAGCAAACCGGATGTCGGGAACCCGGAAAAGGGATGTTGGGATCTTGGCCGCGCACCGAAATCGGCCAGAATGTCGCCAAATCAGCCAACATCCGTTGGGACTCCTTGAGCGCCCGGCCAAGTTATCATGTAGCTTCAGGTCTACATTATTCCCCATATCCTAAGACGGGGTTCTTGTCATTACTTGGACGGTGCCGACTCCAACCAGAACCAGAACCCCTCCTCTCCTCCCTCCTCCTCCTTCCTCTCTTCCTCCTCAAACTTACTCATGCACAGACTTACTCTTTATCAGACTCATTTATACTCAGACCTAGAAATACTCAGACTTACTCATACTCCGACTTTCTCCTGATCATATTAATTTTACGCTCAGACCAAGTCATACTCAGACTTACTCATTCTCAGTCTCGCTATCCGGCTATCCTAAGCTGGGGTTATTGTTATTACTTGGACGCCTCCTCCTCCTCCTCCTCCTCCTCCTCCTTCCTCTTCTCGTCCCCTCCTCTTCTCGTCTCCTCCTACTCGGACTCACTCATACTCAGACTTACTCATACCCAGACTTTCTCAGACACAGACTTTCTCATACACAGACTTACTCATACTCAGACTTACTCATACCCAGACGTACTCATACACATACTTACTCATTCTCAGACCTACGCATACTCAGACCTTCTCTTAGTCTGACTTACTCAACACACATCAGATTTGGAGGATGTCTCAGGCAGGGCGCTGGTTTCAGCACCCCTAAGGGGAGCCGCCAGGGGTGTTTGCACGGGCCCGTTCGCGGCCATTTTGTGGGGATGTCTCCAGCGGTTTGCCGGTTTTCATGCTCAACATCCTTCGCTTGGAGAGCAGATTGTGAGGATGTCTGAGGCGGGGCGCTGGTTTCAGCACCCCTACGGGGAGCCGCCAGGGGTGTTTGCACTGGCCCGTTCGCGGCCATTCGCGACCCACCCGCGAATCACCCACGACCGATCCACATTGATCTTGGCGCTTGCGGCGGGCTCATTGTATAATTGGTGAAACTTTGGCGCCTGCGGCGGGCTTCTCCAGGGCCTCGCGGACTGCCGCTGTCCCCACCGCCCCCTCGCTCTTATCCGCATCTGCGGGGGAATACGTATATTGCATGCACACTCTTCACCGCAATGATGAAGGCGCGGACGGTCCACAGCACTGCCCTCCTGTATCAGAAGCTTTCAAAAGCGTACCCTTGGTCTTCCATGGTTAGAACTTGATGTCTTTCGTAGATGTGTATTTTTTGTTCAGCTTGCCGCGAACGACCGCGACAAGTTCCATTGGCTGAAAAGCCAGATTGCGTCTGGTCCAATCAGGGACGAACACATCACCGCGCAGCGGAACTCGACCAGAACGAGGACTCAATTTGGCAAGCTGAGAAGGGGGGCGGAGATGTAGGAGGAGAAGGGAGGTGGAGGGGGACAGGGGAGACGAAGAATTCGCTTCAAGTTATTTGTTCCATAGGAGTGAGCAGACCAGATTCTCGATCCAGGTCGCATCCAAGCTCCCGAACGGAAACTACGAGCTCAACGTGACAACTGTTTGTTGGAAGGACGGGTTGATGCACAATCTGCAATATGCACGATACGCGTAGCACACATAATAGACACTATACTTTATACAAGATACAATGCGCAATAAACAACACGAGACATATGGGAAGAGAGAGAGAGAGGGAAAGGGAGCGAGAGACAGAGAGATAGAGAGAGAGGGAGGGTGAGAGAGGGAGAGAGCGACGTACACACACATACATATATATACACACATACAAGACTGCATTGGCGCTTGGCGCCATGCGCCTTGTTCCGGATGCTTCTCGGACGTCCAGAGTCTTCGGGTGCGAACTCTTCGTTTCCAGAGTCTTCGGCTGCGAACCAATCGTTTCCATGACAACGACGACGCCGACGACAAAGACGACGACAACGACACGCCATCATATTTTACAACAGGGACAAAGCAAACGGTGAAACATGTACGCGGCTGGAAGGCAGCTCACTTTTCAACCTGGATATTTTGCTTAACGCGCCCGTAGTACTTTGCGATCGTACCTCTCGGAGGCTCTGACAGCTTCAAGACGACGACGACGACGGCGACGGCGGCGGCGGCGGCGGTGGCATCGACCACGAATACGACCACGATCACGAACAACACCACCACCAGCACCACCACCACCACCACGACGACCACGCCGACGGCAGCGACAATGACGATGGGGCTCTCGTCTGCACTGCAGATGGGGCGCTCGTCTCTCGAGGACCTCTGGAAACTCCCAATGGGACCGAAAGCGCTCAGAAACTTTGCCCGTCCTCGTCGTCGTCGTCCTCTTCCTCCTCCTCCTGCTCCTTCTGCGCCTCCTCTCGGGCAGACCGCGGAAGCGAGTGCTCGGGGCGTCAGTAAGCGGGCTACGCAATAATGAGGCGGCAGCCCGCGATGACAGACCGAGACCTCCTGCTCCTCCGTAGGACGACGACGACGGCGGCGGCGACGACGAGTGGTCGCTTCCTGAATGCCTGGTGGGGTCCTGGACGTTCGTGGGGTTTCTAAGGTCCTTTCGAATCACCGTCCTGCGAACTACGGCATCGTGGAGTGTAAGAGAACTGCTGGAAGCTATATTGGAACGGTGTGTGCTCGCATTTGAGCTCCTGGTGACTCCCGGACCAGAGGACTCTGTTTGGGGCTGTTTTGGGCAGTTTTGGAGCCCTCTTGGGCCGTCCCGGAACCCCCTCCTGGCAGTTTTGGGAGGCTGGGCCGGCCAGGGGCTTGTCGGTGGCTCTTGGGACACGCTCGGGGGCCTCCTGCGGCTTTCTTGGGGGTGTCCTGGGGGAGGTTGTCCGGTTTAGGGGGGGAGTGAGGTTTCCGGTTAAGAAACATATAAGAATAGGAATCGATATATATATATATATGTACATACACATGTACATATTTATGTATATATGTATATATATATATTCATATATATATATATACATACATACATATATATATATGTACATATATATGTGGTGAGGTATACCACCAAGATCTGGGACCACGTACACGAAAGGTGGGACCCAGATAATTGATTGGTGTTGGCAGCATATTCGTAAGTTTGTAGGAAGGCGGTCGGCCGCTGGCTCATCCCAGAAGAGGATGGATGCGCGCGCGCGCTGCGCAGTGGGCCTACTGGCACCAAGGCGATGATTTGTTTTTGAGAGCAGGAGAAGTTTTTAGGCGTCGCTGCTGAACTGGCATTGTATTTCTGAGTTCGTACTCGACTTCTTTGAACAAAAAACATGTATTTCCATTTCTTGGTGGTAGACGTGAGACTATATATATAGACAAAGAGAGAGGGGCCACAACATGCATATGCGCACTGCTCGAAACTATCCCTACGAGTGAACAGCGAAATCTGTACATCGCCCCTGCTTTTCCTGCGCGCATCTTCTCGCGCTCCGTCATCGCGCAAGGAGCGGCGCGAATGCAAATAAAGAACAGACACAAAGAATGCGGGCAACTCGTTGCATGCATGTTTTTTCCTCGAGCACTTTTTCCACGGTGATGTGGTTCCTTTGATTGGGCATTCCGCGTGCATAGAACGCTTCGCTCTCTTTTGTTCGGCCTCGCACGTGGAATGGCGCGCGCATCATTGCGCGCGTTGCGCCTTGTGCGGCGCTCGTGCTCGGGCGCGGAGGCAGGCGCGAAGACGGCGCGCAAATCCAAAACTGTTCAGGTTCTGACGCCAGCCAGGCTTTCTACGAAGCTGCGAAAAAAAAACGAAGGCGCTTTCATGGATGGCGAAGATAAGAAGGGCCAACAGCGCTGCGTCTGGACTGCAGCCAAGATCGCGAACGCGAGAGAAGCGGTCAGTGGCGCGCAGCTTAGCGGGGCAATGGCAGGCGATGGCCGGGAAGCGGCGCGCATTGGCGGTCTCTTCAAACATTTAGGCGGTCGTTCCACCGCGACCAAGAAAAAACGAAGGCGCCCTTAGTTTGTGCCGGTGACGGTTCGTTTCGTACGTTTGTAATTTCGTCACCGTTATTTTTTGGCGCAGGTACATCGTCGTTTTTGTACGCGCGTATCTTCATCCTGCTTCGCGCTCGCATTCGTCGTCCACGTCGTCGTTCACGCGCCATCGGGCAAGGTGGGAAGGTGGCCCCCCGCGCGGGCGCTCGAGGAGCACGGCGACACCCCGAAAAACATCATGGCCCACGTGGTCGAGGCAACCGACGCTCTCAAACAGAGTTCGAAGAAGGCGCTGCACTGGAAAACGATACTCGAGAAATCCAAGGGCGACGCCAGGGCGAACGATAACACGGCTGTGATAACCGCTGCCCATGTATACAAGTACAATGCTAGAATCCCCGGTCCGCTCTTTCTTTCCGACGTGACAATGAAGAGACTCTGCCTTGCCCACATTGGTCTTGATTGTTTGTTCATGAACCCCGAATGGGGTGGAATTAGGCAAGCAAACACCACGCAAGCCGCATGGAGGTATTTTCTGCCCCGTGCTGCAAGGGCAACTGGCCCGACCAGTCCCAGCGCAACATGATTAGTAAGTGTCGGAGCGGGTTGTACTATAGCATCGTCACGGACCTGTGGTCGCAGGGTCGGTCGAGAACGGATGCGTGGTGCACGCGCTTCACATGCACCCGTGAGGCACGGAACGCACGCAATGAATGTACAGACATGCGCTGCCCCCTAATGCATGTCCCACGCAATATACACGCACGACACGCACAAGCTACACGCTATGTAACAAAAAACGAACGTTAACGTTCGGAACAAAAAAGATTGTAACCCAGGGTTGGGTTTTACATGTAGCCTCGGGATTAAAATGTCAGCTTAGTTACTGACGTGCTAAATAGTTTCAAAGTTACATTGTACTGTTTCTAGGTTGCTACACAAGCAAACACCACGCAAGCCGCATGGAGGTATTTTCTGCCCCGTGCTGCAAGGGCAACTGGCCCGACCAGTCCCAGCGCAACATGATTAGTAAGTGCCGGAGCGGGTTGTACTATAGCATCGTCACGGACCTGTGGTCGCAGGGTCGGTCGAGAACGGATGCGTGGTGCACGCGCTTCACATGCACCCGTGAGGCACGGAACGCACGCAATGAATGTACAGACGTGCGCTGCCCCCCAATGCATGTCCCACGCAATATACACGCACGACACGCACAAACTACACGCTATGTAACGAAAAACGAACGTTAACGTTCGGAACAAATAAGATTGTAACCCAGGGTTGGGTTTTACATGTAGCCTCGGGATTAAACTGTCAGCTTAGTTACTGACGTGCTAAATAGCTTCAAAGTTACATTGTACTGTTTCTAGGTTGTTCAATAGTTAAGATAAACATTAGCCTTGGGGCTAACTTGCAATTTGTCCGATCGTAAGGGTGGATGGGGGATGATACATGCCCTACCAGGCAGCCATCAGGCATTAAAACACGCCTCCACATACCGTGGATACCGTGGCATGAATGGGAGGGGTTCCCGCGCAGGACGAGGCTTACGCAGAGGGCCGATGCCGGGTCGAGTCGCGAGTGGTGGAGGAAGCCGCGCATGGCTGGAAGGACTGGCCCCGCGATTCCGCGTTGTGTCAGAGGAGAAGATTTGATCGGACATTGGAGCATATACACGACAAGAGGTAAGTTGTTTTTGAATCCCGGGATATTTTGAGGGTCAGGGACGACGTCGGGGTGGTGTGGTGCATAATTATTTGATTCGTTTCCCAGGGGAACCACGGAACATGTATATACCAAGAACCCGTATGCACAAGGATCCGTGTTCTCTTGAAAATGTGCAGTGCAGGCCAGAAAAGGCGTCGGTGTATAGAGTTCGGCTTCTTATTCGACATTGGGCTTCGCTCAACAAACCGTGCGCTTTGAGTCATGTCCAACCTGTTCGTGTAGTTTTACACGGTTGCCAGGATGGGATGGTGTTGGTTGAAATGGGTGCCTAAACAGGGAGCCCATTGTTGACGTCTGTTATGTCTTTCCTTTCTGGTTAAACCGCAAGGCAGCGGGCTTCCAAGAAGCTCGGATCACTAATTGGCTTCTCCGTAACTAGCTAACGCTTCTCGGTCAAAACAGTACGGCGCGCGCGCTTGCAGTGATCGTGCTCCCCCATCCTACCTCGTCCCCTATTCGTTTTCTCTCCCTCTTTGGACTTGCCCGTCACGCATCATCCATCCGCTTCATCAACCTACCCGGACCTACCCGCCTTTCATCCTCATTTTCTCTTCTCCGCCACCCCTCTCCATTCTCGTTCCTCATCCTACTTCCTCGAAGCAGAAATGGAACCAGCCCAGAAAGGGCAGGATTGATAATTCGGCCTGTCCGAGTTCTAAACGATATCCACTGAATCACGATCCAGAACTCAGAGGAATGGTAATGATACGTTCCATGATTATCAAGGTTTCCAGAATTTCCCATATTTCCGGATGTTCCGCACAGGCTGGAAACCTTGGAACGTATCCCGAGCCAATTTGATCGTGACATCATCCTCGCCCTAAGACCGGGATCAGGATCCAGTCTTGGTCCAGTCCTCTCTGGATCATGAACCAGTCCAGTCCGTTTCTGGATGATGTGGGCCAGTCGTTCCGGATTTGGGCCTCCACGTGGGCTTCCAGGAGGGCCACCAGGAGGGCATCTTTGAGGGCGCGCAGGGGCTGCTGCGTGGAGAGCATCCGAGAATTCGAGGCGGAAATTGATCCATCACTGCCGCCAGGGATATCGCTCCTCGCGGACCTCGGGTGGTGGATGTGGGTACATGTGCCCCTCCCCTCCACCCCAGGGCCCAAGCATATCCAGATCCAGCACCTGCCGAGGTCGCCGAAGATTCTGCATCCGCAGGATGTGGTCATTGATGAATCCACGCCTCGCAGGGAGTGCCTTTTGGGAGCTTCTGCGAGGTCCTCTGGCTTGCTGGGGGGGGGCTCCGGGCGCGCTTTTTATGAGGGCCTCCGGCAAGGGCGTCCTTGCTAAGGCTTCTGGGTTGGAGGGCCAGGGCGCGCGCTTGCGAAGGGCCTCCGCGGGAGCGCGCCTGGTAGCCCCTGGGACCGGTCAGGCGAAAAGGAGATTCTCGGCGGCGGGCCTGGGGGGAAAGTGAGAGAGGACGGGCCCTCTCAGAAGGCTCGGAAGGCTTCCGGCCTTCTGAGAAGTGCTCTGAGCCTTCTTCGCAGGCAGAGGTGGCTTCTCTGAAGGCCAGGCGGCTTCTGGGAAGCCCCGCCGCTCTCTGAGAATCGGAGGGCGCCAACTATACACCTACACCGATCCAGCCCAGGCCGATCCTAGGCCCAGGATCGGTGTATATGCATTCTGCCCAAGGCAGGAGGGCGTATACACCGATCCTGGGCCCAGGGTGATCCTGGCCAGGATCGGTGTTGGTGTATAGTTGGTGCCTTCCTAGAGAAAGCCTGCCCACTCTCGCTTCCCCCTGGGCTCGCCGCCGAGATCCGGAAGGGGGAGGTTCTTGCGATAGCTGCTGGGTGCAGCAGGTGTCGGCCTCGCCGCGGGGCGCTTTCTCGTTGGTGCCGTGGCGCCCTCGGCGCCGAGCCAGTCAGTCACGAGCCATGCGCCAGCCTTTGGCACGGCGCTTGGGCAGAACAGGCACTTCCACATGCCATGTACCTGCCCTGCCGTGTGGCGGGGCCGGTGGCACATTGGCATGACACGGCACGAAGCAAGGGGAGCGGGGGACGAGGAGGAGCAGCAGGTTCAGGGGAGTCAAAGGTGATCTCCTCCCTGTAAGCCTGGTTGCGCCAGCTTGTGCACACATCGAGCCCATTGCAGCTTGAGGCGGCCGCGCTTTCGGCGCCGAGAGACGCCAGCAAAATCAGCCACGTGAGCTGATTCGCGTGCCCCCCTCTTCGTGACACCCCCCTTTCGTCTGCCCCGGTCGGTGCGCGCCCGGGTGGGGCGCACCCGCGAGGCGCCACCCATGCGGCCGCCGCAACAGCCGGGCGCCTCTGGGCGGCGGGCCCCTTCTGGGATGCCATCCGCGGAGGATTCCGTGGGAGGGCGTCCGCTGATCTGCTATATGCGGTCCTCTGGCGGTGTCGGCAAGAGGATCGGGGATTGGTTCGGGGGATCTTCTGGGAGACCTGCCTTCGGATGCAACTCCTGGGAGGTCAAAATTCTGATTTGCCCTGGTCCGAAATCTGGCTCAATCCGGCTTAGTCCCGCTCAATCCGGCTGAGTCCGGCTCCATCCCGGCTTAATCCGGCTTGATCCCGCTTGATCCGAGGCCCACACCGGTATAATTAGGCCCCAGAATGGTTCTTGATTCTTCTCAATCCTTCCGACGCAGACCTCCCAGCAGTTGCCTCCTGGCCTGCCGGTGGGTGCCTCTGGGGAGGCGCGGGCACCTCCCGGGGAGGCTCGAGGAGGCACCAGGCACGGCGGAGGAGGGGGCCAACACAAGAGGGCACGCGAGAGGCCGGGAGGCGGGCGAGAGGCCCTACGGGCGCTGAGGCTCGACGTCCTCGGTGGCTGCGCCTCGCAGCAGGAGGAGGAGGAGGAGGAGAGGGAGGGGGAGAGGGAGGGGGAGGAGCGAGGGGAGGAGGAGGAGGAGCGAGCGAGGGGGGGAGGAGGAGGAGCGAGGGGAGGAGGAGGAAGCGAGGGGAGGAGGAGGAAGCGAGGGGAGGAGGAGGAAGCGAGGGGAGGAAGATGAGCGAGGGATGGGGAGGGGGAGGAGGGCGCTGGGCTTGACGTCTTGGTGACTGCGCATCGCAGCAAGAGGAGGAGGAGAGGGATGGGGAAGGGGGAGGAAGAGGAGCGAGGGGAGGAGGAGGGGAAGCATGGATTGGGCGGAAGGAGATGTGGGGGTGTAAGCCGATGCGGCAAGACACTCTCCCGTCCCGAGTCCCTCTTCACAAGTCTTTGCAAGGCGGTCCCCCAGCTAGACGAGGGCGCCTGTTGTAAAGGACCTTCCCTCCTTTTAAGGACGCCCAGGGCAGTCCCATTTTGAGAAGCACATGCCCTCCATCCGTTTAAGCGTTGCAGGATGTCGAAGTTACGGGCGAATGCTTCACGGAAGTCTCACTCGAGAGCCCCGTTTCGAAAGAGGAATCGCCTTCCATACGTGTTACTACTTGCTGCACAATATGGGGCGCCGGGTCGTAGAGGGCGAGGAAGTGTCACGTGAGCGCAGTTAGGGCGGTGGCGATACCCATGGCAGATCCACGATTGGAGTCCCACCGGCTTCTATACCCTGGATTTCTTATCCAAGGCTTCCCTGTCCAATGCCCCCACCGTCTTGGAACGGATACGCCATCCATTCGCGCAGCTAAGGACAATTTGGAAGCCGAGTATGCACGGCGCCAGGGCGGCAGCCCCATTTTGAAAACGACCCGCCCTCTATCTGTTTCTTGGTTGTGTGCAGCTACGGTGTGCGAGCCCCATTGTGAAAGCCGTTTTGGTCCACGCGTCAACGCGATCTCAATCCGTCTGTTCTTTTGAAGCCTTGTGTGGCGACGAGGACGATGATGATGAGGATCTGGATGCTGTTGCTGCTGTTGCTGACGGCGAGCCTGGGAGCGTTTAGATAAGGATTGTAATATTTGGAAGCGCCTGGGAGCGTCCGGGAGCTCTTGGGGCAACCTGGGGCGAAGTTGGGAACCGAATCTGAGTCGGCAGGGGGTACCCGCAACGCATTGGTTTTTTAGATATTTCCTTAATCAGCGCTTGCACTGAAGGGATCTTAGCGGCGATTAAAAGTATTGGGCTGAGTTCGGTGGGCCGCCGGGTTCCTTGGTTCCCGGCTCCAGGTTCCCAAGTTCTGGGTTCAGGTTTTTGGCGAAAGTGGGCGGCCGATTTAGGCGGCCGGGTTCCCAAGTTCCTGCAGGTTCTTGGTTTTTCGGTTCCCGGGTTCCCGGTTGTTGGTCCCTGGTTTAGTTTGGTGGGCGGCAGGGTTCCCGGGTTTTTGGGTTCCACCGATAGGTCTCATCATCGATGTCATATTCCACTTCTTTATCGATATCGCGATTGATATCACTATCACAACCGATCTCACCATCGATTTCACGGTCGATCGCACGAACGATCTCACGACCGATCTCATTAGCGATCTCATTGAATCGTTTTCATTATCGGTCCCATGGCCGACCTTAACCCTTTCCCACAATCGATCCCAATATCGATCCCACAATCGATCTCAATATCTATATCACTAACTCTCAAACCGTCCATTGATTGGGTTTTTTCTCGGGTGTCTTTGCTATTTGTTTCATCCCGGGGCTATTGGGGCCAATGGGCGGGCCGATGTTGAAGATCAGCATCTGTGCGCCGAGTGCTACCGCGTATTTCGGATGGCGAGGGTTGGGTCGCATGGATGCGCGCGGACTATCTGTGTTCGATGCTGATGGTTCTGTCGCATGGATGCACACAACATCGTTCATTTTGCAGGGCATGACGAGGGGTGGGTCGGATGGATGTGCGCCAGCTATTGGTTCGCATGGCCGTTGGCCACATGTTGAAAACGTACCAACTTCCATGTTTGAGTTTGTTGTTGTATGTACGAAAGACGGATCTGCACGGCGCTGAGGCGAGAACCACATCTTGAACAACACCCAACTCCATGCTGGAAAGGTTAGCTTTTTCCAGACGATTGTGCAAAGCGTTCAGGTGAAAACCACATTTTGAAAACCACCTAGGTTTCAGTTATGAAAACGTTGGAAGTGTTCAAGCTCTTGGGATCCTGATTGGCGAGGAAATCTCAGGCGAAACGCCCGGCCCCACCTACGGACACGTTTGGTTTTGCCACACAGAGGGGATATCTAGAACGAAATTGTTTTGAGGGGTAGGAAAGGGAAGGGGGAGCCTGGTATTCGGCAGGCCGCTCTGACGGGGTACGATTGCCCGTCATTCGCTCACCTCCTCGTCCCCCTCCGCGTCCTCTTCTCATTCATCGAGTGGTCTTGTCTACTTCCACCAGGCGCCAACGATAGGCTCTTCACCTGTGGGTTGATCTGGACCACCCCCTACCATCCTGGCGGCCCCCCTCTTGCCTCCCTCGCCCGTCGTCACCTTCCCCTGCCCCTCCCCCTGCCCCTGCCTGCTGTCCCTGGCACGCCCGTGCGCCCTCCAGCTCGCTCTGCACCGCCGGCCTTGCCTCCCGCCCGTGCGGCCGTGCCCGTCTGCCTGCCTCTCTTCTCCCCGCCCCCCCTCGCGCGGGTGCATCCGACGTCCCCTTGCCAGCGCGGCGCGGGCAGGTGCCGAGACGGCAGGAGCGCCGCGCTCCCATCCCCTCCCGCCTCCCTCCCTGCCCCAGTGGGTCCCTCCCCTGCTGGCGGGGCCACGTCTCCCACGGGGCCGCGGCCCCCCACGTGGAGCTGCTCGCGAGCTTCCTCGGGCGGGTGCCCCAAACGAGCCTCGGCCTCACGGGAGAGTCCAAGACAGTCCCCCCTCCCGCCCTGCCCCCCCTGCACCCTCCCTCCTCCCTGCTCCCTTCCCGCTCCTCCCCATTCCCCCCGCTCACCTTCCCGCTTCTCCTACCCCCTTCCCCGCTCCCCGCTCCCCGCCCCCTCCTCCTACCCGCCCCTTTCTCCTCCCTCCTCTTCTCCTTCGCCCTCCCCGCCTCCCCCCCCCCCGCCCACGGCCTGCGCACGCCCTCCCGTTCTCGCCCCGCGCGCGCACGCCCGCGCGGCCTCCCCGCTGCGCGGCACGCGGAGGAGTTCGCGGAGCACCTGGACCGCGGCAAGACGCGGGAGCACCTGAATTTGGACCGCTCCGCGGGGCTGGGGGTTGGGAGCCAGGAGGGGCGATGCTGAATCTGATGATGCTGATGATGATGATGATGATGATGATGATGATGATGATGATCATGATGATGCTGATGATGATGCTGATGATGATGCTGCTGCCGTGCTGATGATGATGATGATGATGATGATGATGATGATGATGATGATGATGATGATGATGATGAATATGATGATGATGATGATGATGCTGATGATGATGATGATGATGATGCTGATGATGCTGATGATGCTGATGAGGATGAGGATGAGGATGAGGATGGATGATGATGATGATGATGCTGATGATGCTGATGCTGATGCTGATGCTGATGATGCTGCTGTGCTGATGATGATGATGATGATGATGATGATGATGATGATGATGATGATGATGATGATGATGATGATGATGATGATGATGATGATGATGATGATGATGATGATGATGATGATGATGATGATGATGATGATGATGATGATGATGATGATGATGATGATGATGATGATGATGATGATGATGATGATGATGATGATGATGGGTGAAGGCGTTGAGCAGGGGAGGGCGAGGAGAGTGATGCTGCGGAGGTCGAGGAGGAGGAGGAAGGGGCGGAGGGGGGAGTGCTGCTGCTGTTGCTGGGCTCCGTTTTCCCGCGTGCTCCGGAGGCCAAAAGGCCGATCTCTGGTCCGTCGCCCTCGCGGTCATGCCATGGCACGTCGTACCGAGCGCAAGTATTCTGTTGGTGCTCCCCATCTGGCGGCATGTGTTGGCACGGGCGTGTACACGCAGCGGGGGGGGGCCCCAATCAGCAGGGTAGCGTCTCGACTCCTCTTCGTGAGAAGTACGTCGGGCCGATGGTCGCCTGCCCGCGCACGACGCGGGGACAGCTCGTCGCATGACGGTGGCGGAGGTGGCTGTGGTGCGCCACCCGCCGGGGGAGGAGCAGTGGAGGCTGTTTAGGAGGTGGCAGGCTTGGATCTTCGAGTCGGGCCTCCCCCCAGGGTCTGGGGTTGATGGGGTTCTGATGGTGGGTTGGTGAGGTCACTGGGGTCGCCCCTTCGGTCGATCGCCAAAGGCTGCGAGATTCTGGGGTTCAGGGTTTGATGGGGCGCGCCTCGGCCCGAGAATAGTTAGATCGCCACAGTTTCCCCCCCTTGTTGATCATCCTTATTCTATCACACCTTACATGCGCATTGTATACCACATGTGTTTGTCGTCCATTGCATGAAGCATCGCGTTGCACGCGGCATTGCGTTGCATGCGCGAGTTGCACGCATCATCTCACGCAGCAGCAATTCAGGGCTCGTACGGCGGTTCCCGAGCGTAGGTTTGATGAGGTCACCCCCCAGCGCCCGAGGGATGAATGTCTTCGCCCCCCCCCTTGCAGGGATCCACTGGCCCTAACCCCAAAGCGCCCAATCGTAAAACAATGTGTAGGTGGGCTCCAGAGCGCAGGTTTGACGAGGTCCCCCCCCAGCGCCCGAGGGAATAATGTCTTGCTAGTGCCCCCCCTACAGGGATCCACAGGCCCTAGTGAAACATTGCCCATTCGTAAAGCTATAGGCAGGGGGGTTCTAGAGCGTAGGATTGATGAGGTCCCGCCCCCAGCGCCCGAGGGAAACAAGTTTTTTTTTGTACCCTCCTGCAGAGATCCACGGGCCCTGTAAAAATCGTACCAGGGGAACTTATAGCCGAGCTCAACCGTTTGTCCCTTCGTCTGTTCGAACATTTAATGTTTTGACTCAAGGCATTTGGCCTTTTTCTGGCATGTCTGACGATTGCTCGTCGGACGAAGACTTCTGTGCCAAGTCTCCGAGTGGTCCCTCTAGCGATGAGGATTTTTTTTAGCGGACGGCGAGATCGCCCCCCGCGTCGCCGAGCCAGTGAGCGACGAGGATTTTCTAGCGGACGCGGAGATCGCCCCCCGCGTGGCAGGCGGGCCTGGGCAGGCAGCGGCCGATAGCGACAGGCCGAGTCTTGACGGCGTGCTCGTGGTGACCGCGGCGGCCGCCTACACGCCACCACCAGTGGCGAAGCGCGGTCGCCGTATTTTGTCAAAGCTTGGTCAGGCGCTCGCTCGGTCCTTGCAGCCGCTGCCATTGGAATCGTTGGTTACTGGAGTGCCTCGCCTGGCAGCTCTCTTGCTGGACGCTGCGGTGGACAGGCCGACGGCGCTGGCCACTGCAGATAAGCTTCGCCTTGAGTGCGGCGTGGCAGCAGCATCGTGGCACGAGACCTGCGACGCCATCAGCCACGCGACGTTCAGGGTCCTGCGCGGCACGTTCGAGCGCTTCGCCATGTCATTGTTGGCGGTATGCCGAGCTGGCGGAGGCGGCGCTGGGCCTGGAGCTGCGCTCAGTCCTCTGGTTCACTTTCGTTGTCGCTCATACGACGGGACGAAGCAGTTCGTCAGAGTCGTCGGCAATGTGAATGTGTCGGCCGAGTCAGATGTTACCTCGTTTATCGAACCTTCGGCTGCCAAGTACGAGGTGCACGTTTCGAGTGCATCGCGGGCGTTTTGCTTGATGAAGGGATCCCAGCCGAATGCGAAGCTCCTGACCCTGATGGTGAGAGAGCCGACGGTTCTCCACACGTCGGATGGGGCGAAAGCGGAGTCCACCAACGCAGCTCTGGCCCACCTCGAGTGCAGCGTGGATCTGGAGTTGAAGCGCGTGTTTCTCAGGAGCGTGGACTTCGTCATGACCGACGAGGCGGGCAGCAATACTCGGTGCGAAAATGCCCGCCAACATGCTGCCTCGCGCCCGTCGGCCCTTCTGCACCTGCACTGCGACGCCCACAAGAAGGCGAAGGTTGCGAGCTTGGGGCACGCGATCCAGAAGCCGACCGACACGATGATCATCCGCATGCAGCTTGCCACGCGGAGCAACATGCCTCGGATAATGAAGGCGATGCGGGACCTCTTGGCCGAACGCCTCGTCATCATCCAGGGCGGCTCGATGGAGGACGCCGACGCTTCGTACGCCCAGCGCGTGTATGACACGTTCCTCCCTGTTCGGTCATCCAGCGATAGGTTTCGGCGACGATTGGCGCAGGGCTTATGGAATGGGAATTTGCGGCGCTCAGACAGGATTGAGCACATATGCACGGGGCGTTGCAAGAGCAGAGGGCAGACGCTGCATCTGATGCAGACAAGCGGCCTGCGTTGCTTGACGAAGCACATGGGCCACGTGATGGACAGGCGGAATTGGACAGGTGCGCACCTGTGCCTCGGTGGGCTCGGCATCGCCTCGTTCGTCCACAACCTCACCCCGTCCGCTTTCCTTGTCGTTTTCAATCACATGTACACGCCCGTGGGCGACCCAGCTGGCGCTGGCGATGGGCAGGGCGGCGACCTCGGCGTGGTCGACGGCGACGGCGACGCGGAGAAGGTAATCCCAGTCAGCGTTTGGAGGGAGGACAACGCAGCTAAGGTGTCCCGCACTATAGATTGGCTCGTGGGCGAACGTTATCATGATGCACTGTATGTCTTCACCTGCTCCCACGAGCCTTGCAGCGAGATGATTCTGAAGGAGCTCGAGCGGAGTGGCATCGAATGGGAGTTGAAGCAGCAGAAGAAGCTCCTCGAGCAGGGGCAGCGCACGTATCCTCTCTGGGAGGCGGCCGATTGCAAGGATGTCAAGCGTGTTCGGCAGCGGTTCGGCGAGCTTGTATTCGATGACAGGTGGCCTTTACTCTCCCGCCCTACGGAGGTCCAGCAGCTCCACTTGTTCACCCTGTGCTCCCGCATATCGGCGAGCGCGTGCGAGCTGGTGGAAATCAGGCACAGCAAGACCCCGTACATCACGCACGGCAGCTTGCGCAACCCGCAGGGCCTCCGTGATCTGGAGCGCGCGCCCGGGTGCACCCTCGACCCGTACACGGGGGATTTCATGAACTACTACAGCGAGCGAGGCGGTGCCGACGGCGAGATGGCGAGGGCCGAGCTTGCTGGTGCGCTGCCCCTGATGCAGACGAACTCCGCCGCGGCCGAACGCTCGCGCAGCGAGAACCTTATGCAAGGCAAGTCGCAACATTTTACATGGGGGATTGACGCCATGTCTCTGTCGGGCTTCTTCTTGTTCCGCCGGGCGTGGAAATGGCAGCGGTCCGTGTTCAGGTGCTGGGGCGACTACGTGAGCGGCAAGGCCAGGCGGGAGCGAGTGCTGCAGGTCGAGCGATCCCAACGACCACATCATAAGAATGCATGGGTGTGGCGAGCTTTCGTCCACGTGGAGGCTGGCGGGGCGTTCATAGACCAGTCGCTCGGGTCTGAGCTTTCCGCTCGATTTCGCAGCCTCTCTCCGGAGCAGCGCGCGCCCTACGAGGACCTGGCGGCAGTGGCCATCCAGGAGCACTTAGCGGGTCGGCGGGCTTTCGGGCCCAGTGCGAGGGCTTCTCGCGGGAGGCCCCTGAGTGGCACGGGCCACAGAGTGGTCGCGTGCAGCGCCGCCTTGCCCCTGGGCGACGGCAGCGGTGCGATGCCCGAGTTTGATGTGGACGCGTTCGTCTCCGACAACGTCATCTTCCAGGGCGCGCTGGTAGACATGAAAATGCACCACAAGGCCAAGGTCAACATGGATGCTGACGAGGTCAGGGCGGCGGCCGCGCGTCTGCAGCAGCAGTCGGACGCCGAGTCGCCGGGGCTTGGGCGAGACTGGAGCCTGGTGGCTGGGGGCGCGCCCGCCTCGCCCGCTGCTGGCTTGACGGTGCAGCGCTGCGTGGTCCCTTCGCTGCAGTGCACGAGGACGCCGTCATCTATCCTTTCCGAGGTCTTGCGGGCCTTGGACACTAGCTCCATCAAGCGGGAGGCCAACGAGTGGGCGAAGCTTCACATGCACACCACCGAGGCGGAGTGCCCCGTGCTGGACGCGCCCAAGAGGCCGCGTCGCATGTGCTGGGAGGCGGGTTATTGCATTTGCAGTGGCCCTGCGGTCGTCGTGAAAAAGTTCCACGGCCAGCTGCAGGTTGTTTGGCGCGTCTT